TAGTTATTTAAATTATTATAATTTGATATTTTATACCTTTTTTTTAATGTTATAATTGATTGCTTAATAATACTATAATTGTATGCTATAATTATGTTATTTTAATAATTGCATTTTAAGTTCTGCTGGAGCTAATTTGCTGGATATATACTAGAGTAAATAAAATAATTATTATTAACTTCCCGTAGGGTAAGTTATTGTAATGAGCCGAAAATCTAAATTGAAAATTTTTACTTTTCTCGGCGTTTTGAAGGTTTCTGAACATTTTGGCATACCTCAGAAAAAATAGATGTGTGTGTGTGTAAGGATACAAATTTCCAGTCACGTTTTCGGGCGCACGGATCAACCGATTTGAATGGTTCAAAAAACATTCAATTCCTATTGATAGGGAGAAGAGCTGATTAGTTTTTGGCAAAGGCAGGTCCAGCCATTTCGGAGATACGGAGCAAAGAGTGCAGAAAATAGAAATCGAGTTTTTGAGAGAACAGAGTATCCGATTTGAATGATCTAGAAAACATTCAATTAGTAATGATTAGGAGAAGTGCTTATTAGTTTTTGACAAAGGCAGGCCCAGCCATTTCAAAGATACGGAGCTAAATATGTAAAATATGGCAGTTTTTGAGAGAACTAAGCGTCCGATTTAAATGATTCAAAGAAGTTTCTACTTGTCTTGACAAAATAATTGATTTTGGAAAAAAAAATTGTTTCAACTTTTTTTTTCAAAAAAAATTTTTTTTGTATATTAAAAATAATTCAGATTTTATTTTTAATTCTGACTATAGTTCTAATACACTTTAAATAAATAATTTCAACTTTGCAATAAGGTTTATATATTTCTTATAAATATTAGACAATGTTACAATAATAATAATAAATATAATTTGAAAACATTCAGTATTCCTCGAACATTTCGTTACGGTACGGGAAGTTCCAGCAATTTGCCTTAAGGCACGATGCCATACACTCCACTAGTTTTAAATTCACATTATATTGCATTTTATCTCTTGATATGTTTAGTTTTTAATATAATTTATTAAAACTTCGATAATTTTATGTAGAGTCTGTAATAGAATAAAAAAAATAAAGTCATTATTATATTTAGTCATTATATATTGCGTTTTATCTCATATATTTGACTTTTATTTTAATTTAATAATGCTTCAAAAATACTTTCAAGACTAAAATTGAATAAACAAAACAATTAGTAAATTAAAATTAATTAAATCACATTTTGTAGCTTGATATGCAAATTAGTGTTTATTGTATTTTAATATATTATTAGGTAATAAGTAATAAGTTACATTAATTTAATCATTCCTTTATTATACAGGCAAATGTATTTTTCATTTTGTCTCATCATAAAATTTAATATATAACAAAAAGTTAGCAGATTCATATTTAACGTTTGCTCGCGTTCGTGACACATAGACACGTTCTTAAATAGCACGCATGAAGAAATTAATAACATCATATTAAATCCTTCAAATATTGTACTACATTGTTCACATACTGCCTAAAACAGGGAGGAACTAGAAAATAATTATAATGGAACTACACCGGCCCTAACTCGGTGATACGACAATAATTATTTCATATGCCATTCGCATATATAGTAAAAATAATACTGTTATGAAACTAAGATTTAATTTGTTTCTATAATATTGAAAGCTCTTAATGTAAAAGGTAAAACTTTTAGAATAATTTTGATATGTGTCAAAACCTTCTCTATAATTTTTCAATTAAAACTTAAATTCAACCAATTTCTTCAAATTAAATTTTAGATTAGCTTATTCATGAAAAGTATCTAAAGTAGCATTATTTTCTTGTGAATTAAGTACACTTTCGTTATTTTTAAAGTATATAAAGTATAAAAAAAGTATATATAGTATGCGTCATAAAATTATTAATAATAAAGTCTAATCTAACAAGTCAAAATTTAATGTGCAATGTTAAATTTTTTGTCAAAATGAACCCGTCAAAATTGTAATCATATTATTGATTATTGAATATTAATATATTAAAGATTAAATAAATAATTATATATTTATATATGTATGTAATTTTTTTATAATGTATATTTTTATATATTAAATGATAGTTGATAGTTGCTATGACCATAGATAAATAAGTATAAAAAAAGGCTATGACAAAGTAAAAACTGATCTAATTGAGAATTACGAAATTATTGATCGAAAATTTTGGTGTTACGGAACACGTATATGTTGAAAACGTTATTAAAATAACAAATAATAATAATAATGAAATGTAAAAAGATATTAGTTTATTAGATTTCATAATAATCTTAAAATAGAATTGTGTATTAATCAGCACTATTGTTAGTCTAACGGTTATATCCATTATAATTACAATGAAATTTTGAAATAAAATACTGTAAGTTTGACAAATTAAAATTAGTGTGCAGATGCCTGAGTACAACTTTACAATTGCAAACTATAAGTTATTATATTAGTTAAATTCTTTAGAAAAATGTATTTAATAGTTTAATTCCACTTGATCCTTACAAATATCACAGGTTGTAAATTTTGTAACTTTTTGTGTAAGTGTACATGTAATACATTTATAATTATCATAAGTAATACATTTATTATTATCATAAGTGTACATATAATTAATAATGAATTCAAAGAAAAAAATTAATTATTAGTAAAATACTTTTTGTAAGAAATAAATGTATGATAACAATACAGTATATAATCAAGTAGTGTAATATACAAGTTCTAACTGATTATTTAACAATTTATATTTTCAATAAAATACAACCCTTTCGAATTCTTAGTACTCAGTTTATAATAAAGTTAATAAAGGCAACGCTGAAAGATCACTCGTACGTGCATCTCACTGTGAAAAGCCATGTGAGCAAAAAGTCACCCCTTTTAACTTGCTCCCTTCGCAAATAAAAGTTAAGTAATATATTACAAACGCAAGTAAATTAAAACATTTTGATACTAATATACAAATTGATGAAAGTACAAATAAATTTAGAATTTATAAGTTAGAAAATTAAAAGAAAATACATTATTTAATATTTTATTAGATAGTTCATTCTATTAAAAATGTTATACTATAGTATGCTATACTATACTTATAGTATAGTAAGATTTGATAATTTTTATATAATTTGTAATGAATTAGGTAAAATTAAAAATATGCTAAGGCTAAAAATCTGAAAAAAATATAAAATAAGGTTCAATTTATAAAATAATTGAATGTTTCCAAGAATGTATTTTTTAAAGGTACAAACTAAAATAAGTACTTATATATTGTTATAGAAAAAGGATTTTGAATGTGCAGTCCAAATTACAATTCAACCGTTTTACAGAAATTTACTTGATGATTTAATTACGTTTGCAGTAAGTATAAAAAATATTTTATTCCCAACAAAAAATCACAATAATAATATCTGAGATATTTTTGAATTGATAAACGGACCAGAAATTATTTATGATGTGAAAAGACAATAATAAACGAGCTCATAATTTAAAAATAAATTTAGATGTTTCTATACATTTTTTCTTTAATGCATCAATTATTAGCATTAAAAAAGGAAATAAAACAGTGCTAGAATTTCTCAAAACAGTTTACAAAAGTCTATTCTATGAAAAACGACATAATTAAATACATTAATTTGATGATCAACTACAACTTTGATATATAATCAGCTTCAAATGCGTCAGCATAAGCATAATTGTTAATATCAATCATTTTCTATTTTTTATATGATTATATAACTATCATATAATTAATTTCCGATTTGAATTTAATTTTTATGATTTACTTTAATCTTTTTTTCATGAATTACTCAACTACTTATTGCAAATTATGTTTAATGTTAGTTAAATTTATTTTACTACTAATCCTTTAATATATATAATTTTTTTGACAAAACTCTCATAAAATAATCATATCCAAGACATCATTGCTAATATGATAAACATTTTTTGTATTCAATTTTCTGAATATTTTTTTTGATAAAATGCCTTTGGACGCTGAAGTGAGTACACGCTTGTAAGTAGTATTTTAGTTTAATTCTTTAATAATACTATTTAATAATTTTCATAAATAACTAATTTAGTGATCGAGAAATAGGACCTTTATATGAGTAAAAAAAAAACTTGATTCCGGCGTTCGACCCATGCAATGGATGTTGAAACAAGAATTGAATTGCCGAAATTGAAAGAAACCGAAATTTTTAGATTAATACGTTAATCGTGTTTAGTTTACTATTTTTAATTGAGTTTGTAACTTAATATTTTCAGATGCGCCGACTAAAACAAATGTTAATAAAAGAATTTCACGAAGAAAATCATGCCCTCCAGTTCTTAGGATTGACCTACGCTCGTACATTTCAATAAATCAAAATTTATTTTATAAAATATTTATTCAAAAACTAAACTTAACTGCTGTATGTTTATACTAAAAGCTATGTTACCAGTCTATATAAATATAAGTTCTACGCTCTATGTTTAATTTCGATTGTAAATATTTTTAAAATAAGCCAACAGTCTGTGTTGTCTGAGTCCTGGTTGAACAAGTTTCTTGTATAATTGTAATAATAATTATTCATATCATAAATTTACATTTAAATAGATTTAAATTAAAAAGTTTTTTGTGATTTAGGAAAGTACTAAATAATACTGAGTGTAATTAATACTTCTAAATTACAAAAAATTTAACATCATATAGTTACAATTGTGTTACAAATGTATTCTCATATTATATTAAGATTAAAAAATATCTTGTTACTCTAAAAAGCACTATGAAATTCAGACAGGTCTGCAAACTATTATTAATCAGTTGACTTATAGAAACTAATCTGTTTCCTAGCTATGATTAGATAAACAATAATCAATGATTTTCATATTTTTATTAAATGACAGATTCACAGAATCATATATAATTTTTTTTACATGTATAAAAATACAAAACTAGGCTAAGTAATTAAAATAACAATTGATGTATAACTAAGCTATAAAATTCAGAAGCGGTAAAGTAAGCTAATCAGTATTTCCAATTGCCCCACTCAGAACTAAATTAATTGCAGCTTGCACATCATTATTACAAATCACAAGTGCTTGCAAATTAATAGCATCATCTGTAAGCCCCAATTCTCTCATTCTATTCAACTGGATTGCAAGATTGCTATTTTCATTTCTATTTTCAGTTTGACTAGATGGTGTCACTCTATTAGTGTCTCTAACCTGTCGCATAGCATTTCTCAATGCATTACTAAACATAGAAGAAGTTATAATCGAGCTAGGTGAACGAATTAAACTAGAACTACTCGAAGATGTTGTTGGGACAGAATTTGTTGGGGTATTAGAATTGGATGTATTACTTGCAAAAGCAAGGGCAGCAGATAACTGATTAGAAGTAATCCTACTATTACTTTCAGAATTTGTTCTATGTGCTGGAAAACCAACACTGAAATTCTCAGATCCTGACGAGTCTGAATCACTTTCAGCCATTAGACTACTCATTGATGGCATACTAGCACTGGTGCCTGAAAGTTTAAATTTAAATAAATTAGCTATGAATGTAGAATAATGAATCTTCAAAAAGATTTAGATCATTTTTACCAGGTTTTTGTGTTTTTGCGGTCTTTTCATTCCCTTTAATCATCTCCATTACAAACACTAGCGCTTTGATAAGTGATGGGTGGTTTTGTGCCATTCTTCTGAAAGTACTCTCTACTTTTATTTGTGTTAACAAATATGGATCTTCTAAGAAGGCTATTGCTCTTAGATCATTGTTCAGCTCAGGCACTTCTTGTAATATCTTATTTAAATTTTCAGGACGGTTTATCTTCTGCAATATGTTAGAAATTGTCGAAAATTCTATATTCAATAGTGTTATTTATTATATCAAGTTCTAATCACTTAAATTAGTTTACGATTTAAATTAGTAAAAATACTTGATTATATGTCAGAACTTATGTTAATAATACAAAACATATTTTACCAACAATGCTGCCATTTTATTGTGTGGATAATTTCGAATGGATGCAAGAAATTGGTAAACTTTCAAAATTTCTTCATCTGAAATAGTAGGAGTTGGAATTTCCTTTGGTTTATGCCGAGTAAAAGTGTAAAGTACAACGTTTGGCTCAATACCACATTCAGACAATGTTTGACAATCATTCAATATTTGACAATTAAAAACAAGTTCTGTAAAAAAAGTATATATTTAGATAATGACTGATTTTAAATAAAATTACTTATAATAATACCTATAGGATTCTTTGGAGTCTCAAACCACTGCAGAAAGCGTTCTTTTAAAGATTTCACACTTTCTTCTGCATCACAAAAAGGAATTTTGTATTTCATACAATCGGTTTTTGATATTCGATGCATTATAGTAATAGACATTTTTATTAATACAAATAACTAAAAAAAAGTTTATTTGTTTGTGATGTTAAAGAATTTCGTAAATAAATATATAAATGCAAGTTTGGCCGTTTTGCTTGTAATGCTGAATTACATTTAATATTGACAGCTGTCATCTGCAATTCTTTTCCCTCTTTTCCATTCACGCGCCTATCTGACACAGAACTTCATACTGTAGCCCGCGAATTTTAAAAAGTAATTTAAAACAGAAATTTATTATTATTTTTATTAGATATTTTTGTAATATTTGTGTAAGTTCAAGAACTGATGCAGATGTAATACAATAATTGCATTTACCATAAAAATTGAAAATGTAAAAAATATCCAAATAAGTTTTTTTTTACTTATATAGAAATAATACAGTTATCATATTAAATAATCTTATAACATTTTTCACATGCCCAAAACCAAAGGTTTTCACATTGCCTAGAATTCTTCTAAGTTGTGTGTGTATATATATTAAAAATTGAAATTTTTTCATGCTATTTCTATACAAAACTTTTTATTGAATTGCGCTCTATCTAAAATACAATATTACGAGCAAAAACTTTCAGAGAATTGTATTTTATCAATTTGGTACCATTTGAGCTTTTGGGAGCAAGGAAATTCAAAAATTAAGTTCATATTAAGAACCACCCTAAGTTCAAGTTCTTTAAGAAACCGTTCTCATACATTTTTATAAAAAAATAATGAAATTTTTTTAAATATAAATTTAATTATGTCAAAAGTTTATTACTCAAGGATTTTGAGGATTTGGAAATATTATTAGATCAATAAATATTACATAATATAAGTTTTGATTTATTTAAACGTACGAGCGTAGGTCAATCCCAAAAACTGGAGGGCATGATTTTCTTCATGAAATTCTTTTATTAACATTTGTTTTAGTGCTGTGCGGCGCATCTGCAAAAATAAGTCGCAAACTCAATAAAAAAAATAGTAAAATAAACTCTATTATCGTATTAATCTAAAATTTTCATTTAGTTTTATGCACCATATTTTAATGTACTTACTACATTTATCGGTTTCTTAGCGCAATCCAATTCTTGTTTCAACATCCATTGCACCGGTCGAACGCCAAAATGAAGTTTTGGATCAAAAATATCTTTTCTATACTCATATAAAGGTCCTATTTCTCGATCGCTAAATTAGTTATTTTTGAAAATTAGTAAATAGTCTTATTAAAGAATTTATCTAAAATATTACTTACAAGCGTGTACCCACTTCAGCGTCTAAAGGCATTTTGTCAAAAAAATTATTCAGAAAATGTAATACAAAAAATGCCTATTGTTTTGTTTATCAATGATGTCTTGGATATGATTATTTTATTTAAACAAGAGTAGAAGAGCAATGTTTCAAACCAACGCAGAATTATATTTATGAAGTCGCTAATATTTCACAATCGAGTCGTCGCTTAAATTTTTTCTATGTTGGTAGCTCTGTCGTCACAACTTGACGTTCTACGAAAATCATATCCGGGATCTCTCTTTTCCATTTGATGGAACTTGTAGAAGTTTATTTCTAAATCTGTTAAAGAAATAATCATGGGCGAGGTACGTGTAAAATTTTAATATTATTACAATATGTAGTAGATGATTTATAAAACGTTAACAATATTTTCTCAGAGCTATTACAGTGTATATTAATTTTTGTTGATTTATTATCATGTTAAAATGTATTCATTTCAATGTTATAGGCCGAAGAAACTCAAAAGAAGAAGCGTACCTTCAGAAAGTTTACTTTCAGAGGGGTCGACTTGGATCAATTACTGGATATGCCCAAGTAAGTGATTTTTAATATGATTGTGAATTTTGTAGGTTATGTGTATGTGGTTTACATGTTCAAAAATTGAATTATATCACTTGCTATTAGCTACTATTATCATTTGAATTGGTGATTATCATCCTAAACATAATGTTATCCGCGAGTTAAATTCAATGTTTATAAAAATGGATCATATTTAGGGTTAAACCTGACAGCCGGTGAGTTGAATATATCTTTTCGGTTTGCATTTGCATATAATTTAATATTGCCATTAAATAAGGATACATTAAGATCACATGCAGTTAATTGCTATCCCAACTTTACTAGAAATTCATATGTCTGGAAGTAGTACATGCTATTGTTGAGAGCCAGCCCAGACATAAATTGTTGATTTCTCTATTTTATGAATTAAATTTGTGTAAAAATGCTGTTTTAACAGATGTTAATGAAATTCTCCACTAGTACTGCTCATACTTTGAAGAATTTGTTATATATGAACAGCTTTTCCTAATAGATTTTTTTATTTTAGTGAGCAATTGATGGAATTAATGCATGCAAGAGCTCGCAGGCGTTTTGCTCGTGGTTTGAAGCGCAAACCAATGGCACTTGTTAAAAATTACGTAAAGCCAAAAAGATGCTCCTCCAAATGAGAAACCTGAAATTGTAAAGACTCACCTTCGCAACATGATTATTGTTCCAGAGATGGTTGGTTCCATTGTTGGTGTTTACAATGGAAAAACATTCAATCAAGTTAGTTTATTTACCAATATTAATTTCAATATAAATATTGTGATCAATTACTAATTTATTTATATTTGTTAGGTTGAAATCAAACCTGAAATGATTGGACACTACTTGGGAGAATTTTCTGTGACATATAAGCCTGTTAAACACGGTAGACCAGGTATTGGTGCTACACACAGTTCCAGATTTATTCCACTTAAATAAAAATGTATGCTTTCCATTAATATATTTATTTGGAAAAGTAATATTGTCTTTCAGTTTACAATGAATATTTATTTGTCAACAGAATTGATGTCAAATTCTTACAATATGAGTTTGTATAACATATATGCTATTAACCCAGTTACAATTAAAATAAGTAGCCACTTCAAAAATTTTCTCATAACAACTTTACCGGCTCCTTCAATTGACTGAATTATTTTATTATTCATCAAAAATAATTTTTTACTCTCTGTGATAAACAATTGCTTGGTTGACTCACTAAATTTGCGTGCTTCGTTGTCCATATCATCCCGAAGCTTCTTTTTTAAATTGTATAAATTAGCACCTTCAAAATCAGTGACTGCTTCTCCTGAGATAATAATAATTATTAAAATTATAGTAAATACAATACAAAATTGAAATTAAATTACCTGGTATATTTTTGTTTTTGTTCGCTTTGGTAGTATAGAATATGCTCTTTTTTTTCTGAGATCTGGCCACCAGACAGTAAACCCATGTATAAATGATAAACGTATACCAGCAATAAAATCTGTGATAAAACAAATAATCATTATGTTTTACAAAGTTTTTATTATGACAAAAGCAGTACCTTATTATTATCAGCCAAATAATGCAGATGATTCAAATAGTTTGCTACACTTTCTCGTATAACATATGTTTTTTTCCAATCTTTTCCTAAGTAGAATTCTAAGTCTTTTTCAAATGCGTCTATTCTTCTCAATGATGTGCATAGCATTGGATGATCAACATTTCTTTCCAAATATTTAAAAATTTCATAAAACACCAATAATCCTTCAGCCCATACTGATTGGTCAGAGAGTGCTTAAAAATATGCATTTATGAATATATACAATTTATAATAACTAGAATACATATGAGAAACTGCAAATGCTTCTTATGCATAAAATACTACTTCATCAAGTTGTTTCTGCAATACAATACATAAAACAATTTGACAATTGCAATATAATTTATCTATCATCTTTTTAGCATCTAATATTAATAACTATTAAATATTAATTACCAAAAGCAAGTTTCGCATTTACTAAAGCATCACTA